TTATTTTGCAGTATTTTGAGACGCGTCCCGAGACGCGCCAATTGAGTTTCGAGAAACTCGTTTCCCTGTTACCCTTTTCAGGGATTTTCATGACTGTTGTCAAAGTCGGCGGGAAAATTCCGCACAATTTCCTCGCAGTGATGTAGTTCGCGTTCAATTCTGTCTTTTCTCCATTAATGTCTGAGTGAGTGGAAATTTAAATAGTTTACAGTAAATAACCATGTATAGTGATTTAAAAAAAAAGAAACACTTTCATCCCCATCCGCCCAAAAAAAGCGGGATATTTTCGAGCCAACCCTTACCGCTGTATACATCCAAGGATGATCTGGAAAAATTCATATTTCTTGTAGAATTCTTTATTTGAACGTACCTGCACCGAAAGGACATCGTTTGACAGGTGATGGCTTCATGGCGACTGAACAGGCCTTCCTAGATTTCACGGGTAACATGTGACGGCCATCCGACATCTTCATTACCTCGAGTTTGCCCCGTTTTCCATTTCCTCTGACGAGTTTTGCGTCAGCGTCGGTGCTTCCATAGATCAAAGACCCGTCGATGAATCCTGTGTTTCCGTTCAATTGCGCTCTCGGACCTGCCGGATAATTGATTCATATTTTGGCAATATACTGCCTGCTTCCAGGAGAATACAGTTTTCCGGTTTACGCAGGAAGTACTCTGACCTGATGGGGTCCTCGAGAATCGCAACTTAATATCAGTGGTGCCGACAATATGTTCAATTCTCCAAGTAAAAAGAATAAATTTGAATAATGAGCTTTTTTAAATATCGGAACAGAACGAAAGAAATAATTCCATCGTTATTTATACTACAGTACTTACAAAGGTTTTAACAAATTTTTCAAATGCCAATGAGGCGGCCAATGTGGCGGCTGTTGATGAAAATGACGGAATTACCTCGGAAGACCGGGAGGCAACCCTAGGAATTAATGCCATGTTGATTTTAAGAATTTTGAAGGGAAAGCTGGGCTACAACAACAAAATCTGCAGGAAGGGGGCCTAATCTTTTGAGTGGAGAGCAAAACTCTGCCCGGGTGAATTTAGCAAAACATTAAAAAAAATTTTCGAACAGGGCTGATTTTTTTCTTGTGCCAAAGAATATGTTTTCATTAAAGAATTTTTTTCAGATCAATTATATGCCATTTTAATTTCTATTCCGATAAATTTTGTTAAAACCCCTCGTGGTTCCCTCAAGCAGACTTTACATGGAGATCTTTCTGACTTACTTGCATTTCTCTAAAAAAAAAAGAACCTACTTTAATCCGTACTAAAATGCACCATAACGTTGAAGGCGCTTCCAAAAGATTAAAAAGAGCATGACAAATAATTGAAAATTTTTAAATATTTTTTATCTTTGACTTTCCACCATTTTTCGCAGGAACCAGACATATTTTATGCTACGACGCGTGTAAATAGGACAGTCTGTTTAAAAACCAATGAAACACGAAGAATTCACAACGTACAGACTTTCTCTCAGATTTTTTTCGTATCTGCGTGTCCCATTTTTAGAAATGCGAAGGAACCCAAGAACTTTGACAAAATGCTAAAGATAATTTCAGAAACTATCTTTTACCTTTTCTTTTGAAAACTTTAGAACTTTGAACATTTTTCAAATACCGCACCTAAAAAGTTGGGGTTTTGAGTTGATCGCTCAAATGTTTTCCTCTCCAGAAGGAAATCATGAATAATTTTTAAAACGCTCGAGACTGAAAGTTCGTCTGCTTTTCATGCCCACATTATCAAACACAGCGTGTTCATTCGTTTAGTACATAGTCATAATATTCGATTTAACAGCGTCGTGAGAATTCGTATTTACCAAGTTTGTCCTGAGGGGCGACCGTGTCCCGGACCAACGTCAAACAAGTTATGTTCTTCTCGTCATAGAAATGATCACCAGGAGGAATATAAAGTGGGATGCACTCGGGATTCATCGTCGTTCCGTTGCAACAATCAATCCCTACGAGGAAAGGAAAAAAAACATGTATAATTCAAGTGCTCGCTCAATTACGATGCAGCTTATTTTCTTTGTGTTTCCTTAAGCTATGAGGTACTAGGAATGTTTTTTTTTTTTTTACCCGCGGGCATGTTAACAGAGAACTCCATGTCATGGTCGACGAACTGGCCCCAGATGACGAAAAGCATGTTCACTCCGGTTTCTTCTCTGTAATCCGTGCCGTGAACAACGCGAGAGACCAATCTCGGCAGTGGCAATGCTGATCCGTCGCTTGCCTTTGCACGAACAGCTGAAACGCCTGCAAGCATTACATAAAAAATTAAAGAAAATTGTATATTCATTAAAAAAAAAGAAGATACTTCTTCTTTCGATTTACGCTTGTTCAAGGGATTGACGCGTGAAACTAGATACTGTATATGTGGATAACAAATTTGAATAATTCACACACTTGATATTGCGACAGAGTTTCAGAGGTGTGTTTGTGACCAGCAGCTCGGAAGAATGACGGCGAATTGTACTTTACCGAGAAAACAAAATAAAAATTATAAGGCTCGGATCAATACCTGTCGACATTTCGATAATTATTTCTGGATTCATGAGGCGAGTGCAAGACATTTATAAAAAAGCGATTGTCATGAAAGAATCGACTTGTTCCAAATTCCGTAGCATCAAAATATTATAAGAAAATACACTCCGAAAAGATGCGATTTTGGATCCAAAATTAGGCATAGAGCGAAGCCATTGAAATTTTATTTCAGAAAACGAACAAAAATTTTGCCTGAACATTTTTAGATTTTCAAGAAGAGAAAAAGTTTCTCCTCTTGCAAAATAAACCCAACAGCATAAAATGTGTCGTAATTTTAATTTTTCGTCGCAAATAATGGATAAATCTTTTTAGCACTGCATTGCAAAGCCATCTCCATAGCAATAAAAAAAACTGCAGGTATATTTTATATTTTTGCGTAAAATGCCCCCAATACTTGAAAAATAATTGAAATTGCTTAAAAAGTGTCGCGATTTCTAATCAAAAATGCTGGATAAATACTTCGGAATACTCGGCACGACTGAAAAAATACGTTTTTTTCTATTTCGAGGAATGCGTTGCAACGTCAGACTTGTTATCTCGCTACACAGCTCGGTTTTTACTCACTCAAACTATCGAAATATTTATAAATATTTCGAAGAAAACTTGTGAGTTTTAGGAAATTTTTCAGCACAAAAAACTTATTTCTTTGTCCCTGATTGTTCGTGCACTTTTTTTTACAGTTGTAGCATTTCCGCTCGATTAAAGGGCGCAAATAACTGGTCATTCTGGTACAGTATAAGCAAAAATAAACTTCTGCAATTAAAGATCCACTAATCACTAATACGACTCGTTTTATGACAGTGCTTTGATCGGCTGATCACTAACGATCAATAATTTATCGTTTTCTGACAGTGCTCTGTTCTTGCACTGCTCTACATTCGCATTGTTCTCAGAATCTTGTGTCCAGGAGCTCTTATTCGGACGCGCTCTTTCGGCAAGCGCCATTTTTGAGAAACGCTCAATCGAATCCCAACACCTTCACTCACCATCTTCGTACGCAGGAGGTAGAGATCTCCGATACCCAGTTCTGCTGGCTCCCCACATCGGGTTTCGGTTTAATAACGTGCTGGGTAGTTACGCAGCTTTAAAAAGAAGCGACCTTGTGAAAAGTTGAAAAAAGCGCAGGGGCCTTAGAGCCTCTCGACCGTTGCTCCTGGTTCACGAGCTGTCGCTTCGAACCTGTCGAGAAATGCCCAGGGTTTTCGTCACGATTGCCGACGCGGTGTCGACGACGTAGCCCGAGTAGTCGGGCAACTTCGACGCCGAGTCCAGGCCTCCTTTGGCCCTAACAAAGAGATCGTTGGGTGACAGCGGGACGTCATCCACGTAGGTGTCGGTGTCGGTGTCGTTCTCGAGGCCAGCTGCAGAAGATGATGGTCGCAAACCCCGCTGAAATTCCGCCGACACCTTGCCTTGTGTGACGGCGTCTGCTAGCTGCAGTCTTCCTAATTCCTTCCCAGCAACTGCAAAAGCGAAGAATGAAATCAGGAAATCTTAAAAGGCTCTTTTTCAATTCCACGGCCGGTTTTTGCATTTTTTT